ACTGCCTGGAGTAATGAGATTCCTGTAATACTCGGTTCAAATACGCACGAAGGACTCTTTCATTATGCTGAAACTAAGCGCAAACCATATTTGGTCAACGAACTAGCTGATTTCGTGCATATGCTGCCAACGGCAGTGAAAGGTGAGCGTGAAGCACATGAACAAAAAGAGCTGGCCCTACGAATTAAGGAAGCACATTTTGGTGAAAAAGTACCACATCATAATGATACATTCGATAATTACTTAGAAGTGAGTAAGCATTGTGAAATGCAAAAACGAATATCAACTCCTGTTTTGCTTGTTTCCTTTTCTTTCGCTTTGCAGATGGTGTCTTACAGACATTTCTTCAGTGACATTCACCGCACACTCTTGGCTCGTATGGCCTATGCTCCTAATGTACCCACCTATCTCTATCACTTTGCATTCGATTCGCCACATTTCAATCATTATCGCATTTTGAATTGTGGCAAGTCTGTGCGTGGCGTTTCGCATGCCGATGATCTCTCCTACCTCTTCTACAATGTGAGTGCCGGTAAATTATCGTCTTACAGTGATGAATTCAAGACAGTACAACGTATGACTGGTATGTGGACAGCATTTGCTACGACAGGCAATCCGAATTGTGAGGAAATCGCATCGACCAGCTGGCAACCGGTTGAAGCGAACGATGCGGAGCGCGCACAACCGAAATGCCTAAATATTGAGGAGGAAGTTGAATTCATTACACTTCCACAGGAAAAGCTCAAAGTCTGGGAAAGTTTATATACAAACAACAGTTTGTATTGAGGGAATCTCTTGCTTAGTTATCGTTTCTTGCCAGTGCGTTATTAATATATATTATCCGCGTAAAGAATTTCGTTTACTCTTAAAACTTGTTGTGTTAAATATTTTTTACAAAATTTTTTTATATTTTTGTTATAACTAAATATGTAGAATATATGTATGTGATATGAATATTTTTCAATACAATTTTTTAAAGTACAGAGTTAGTGGATTTCAATTAACATTGGGTAAAAAATTCATTACAATATCTGTCAACAGTGCTTCATAAAAAAAAGACGCGTTACCCCGAAATTAGAGCTCTAGCCTTAGATATAAAACACTTTTAAGAAAATCTTAACGATTAAAAGTCCTTTGAAACCCACTTTTCCTCAGCAATGGAAAGCCAAGGCAGCTGAGTCGCAATCTTCGGAAAGCTAAACCGTAATACAGCAGTTTTTTTTTAGAGTGCTCTTGAATTTACTTTTGTCATATGCAATGCATTCATTATTCTGCGTTAGTCTTAACATTAATACTAAAAATATATTTTTAAAACAAGCTTTCTAAAAAAGAACCAAATCGGACTATAAATATGGGAGTTTCAAATATCTTGCCTCCCGCGTCACCTAGCGGATTAATTCATATTTATTATTGCATTGTCATCGGGTTCTAAGCTAAGTTCTAAATTTCAAAGCTCTATCTCTAGTCGGGAAGTTCTAGTTGATTTCATGAATTGATCCCAACAAATAGGAATAGAAGCAAATTAAATGAATGCTTGCAAAAAAGCTTAAATTTCGGAAATTACAATGATTGATTCATTAAAGAGTTCATCTCCGTTTTCTTACTCTTTGGAAAGTTTTGCATAGTTATGTGCTTCATGCGACCTGAAGTTGTACGCCGGCTCCTAACTGCAAATGGATTTTAAAGGAAGCTTTTTCATGGCAGAAATACACTAGGAAGTTTGCCATTGTCAGCTGAGGGGCGACCGCTCTAAATACTATAAACTAAATCGGGCCATAGACGCAGGTTTACGCCACCTGCCGGATAAATTTTTCGCGGCATTTTAGTAATACACTTTCCATGTGTGATCTAGCACATTTATTCAAGCTTACTGGTAACTTCTCAAAGGAATAGACATTGTAAGCTAATTGAACTACATACAGAATGTGGAATGTTGCAAATAGCCAAGCTTCGACAGAAGCATGTCTCTTCTGAAGTAAAACAAAGAGTGAAAATTCTCCAAAAAGCATACTGAAGATTTTCGGACAATATAATTCAGAAATATTTTTAATCCAATAAAGAAGTGTGAAGTAAGACAATCAGTGAGCTAACAGCGGCCTCGAAAAAGCAAGCACATTTGCTCGTCATCTAAAAAGCGTGTTTACTCCACACGAAATTGAACCCTGCGCAATAAAATGGACCCACAAATACAAAAAAGAACTCAAAAGTTGAAGTTGGGCAAGCCATCAAAAAAACTCAAAGCTAAGAGCACTGGCTGTTATGATCTAATCACGGACATATAAATATTTAGGGGAATGAGTCGGCTGATGAAATGGCCGGATGCGGCTCAGATATGCCAAAAGAAGAAGCGGAAAGCTCCGTACTAACACAGTTTAGCGATCATGTTAGGAAAATTAACGAATGACTTTTGGAACAAATGGGAAGACTATAAGACCACAAGATTATTATGGCCGCTGCTTTGTGGGAAAAAGATAACGGACATACTGAAGCTCAATAGATCTGCAGTAAGAGTCATTACCGGCGTTATCACTGGTCCAAGGTTACCGTGCTATAGCACTAATGCTTCAACGGTGGCGAATACCAATAAGTATTATCTGCAGAGGTTGTCATGATGAGAATGACCACTATCTGTGTCGGTGTCCAAGTATACAGACGAAGAGACTCACGCACTTGGGTTTACGGTTCTTCAACGGTCTGGGCAAGGTAGCGGAGGTGGAACTGTTGGATCTGCTCGGCTTCATCGGAGATAGTAATTCGTTCGGTACTTGATACTCACTTAAAGAGGGCACTCACAAGGAGGGTGTCTTCAAGTCTTCAAGTGAAAGTATGGAATATTCCACATACCAGCATTTGAAGGAGCAATTGTTGGCACATTTGCGGACGATACTGCGGTTCTCGCTATAGATACCCTTCCACAACTCGCTTCGCCTACGCTCCAAAACGGCCTAAACAATATAACCCCATGGCTGAAAAATTGGTTAATTAAGCCAAATGAGACAAAACCTATTCAGGTTACGTTCTTCCTTAAACGTAAAATCACAGCCGTAACAAGACAAAATAATTAGGCATGCCTCGTTGCAAGCTTACGTTGAAAACTTAAATTTACAAGTCAGAAATTTATGTACACTGGTTACTGAACCTAAAATCTCGGGACTCACTCGAGTATAAGCTCTTACTCTATTCATCAAATCTCATAACGCATTTCTGCTTAGAATATATTCTCGTGGCAGCATTGCATGCCACATTTGCAGCCAAACATCAAGGGCATTGACCTGTTGCACACAATTTCTTTGAATGTAAACAAACTAGGTAATAACATTGCTATGTTAAGCAGCTTTTAAGAGCATTGCAATAACGAGTTGGTTATACATAAGCCGGCTACTAAAGAACAATCAAGCGATGAAAGAGAGTGTAAAGTGCACTGACGATGTGAGTGCAATGACGATGTGAGTGCACTGAGAGAAGCAGGGTAGCTCACTGTTTTTTTTTTTGTTATTTAGGCGCGCTCTTTCTTAAAATAACACCTCACTCCTTGTAAGCGATCTTGTGTGAGTTTCAGCGCACTTCTCGAACAATACAGAGCGGCGTGTGAGAAGTGTGAATGAGTAGATAATTGAAATAGTGTAATGAATAATCGCACTGAGTCTTGCAGCAAAACAAAAACCGATAATGTCATATCAAAACATTCTGATCAGTAATAAAATAAAATATGCGATCGACGTGAACGACAACAAAGTGGCCGATAGAAGTTGAAATACAAATAAAGTGAACAATCAAAATACATTATACAATAAGTAAATAAAAACATTCGATAAGACGCCAAACATGTTCGACTGCGGCAGAGTATTCCAATAATGTTTGCATATGAAAACATTGAAGGAGATCCATTGGATGTGTAGTGCCAAAGGGCCAACAGTTGCTCGCGATACATAGTGGAGTGTGGTTGCATCGGCCAGCTAAATGTGTTAGATAAACGGAAAAAAAGTGTAATTAGATAACAAAAGCGAGCAGAAGTTAAAAAAAAATTTATAAACGAATTAAAAATAATCAGCAACAAAACGGGTTTAATTAAAAAGTTTCCAATAACAAACAAATAAAAGTTGAGTGTGACGTAGTTTTTTATCATACAACATTTTTATTTTTTTTTTTTTGTTGTAGCTCAACCATGTCAAGCAAGTAAGTGCAGCTGGTCAAGGTCTATTAATAAGTGCACATACATACAAACGTACATACATATCTATATTGTATTTAGGTGTATTCTTTTTTAAAATTTTTGTTAACTTAACTCCATCAATTAGCACACCTGATGCAGAAGTGTTGGTGCACACAGCACTGGGCATGCTCAAAGGTCAACGCAACACATCCATTTACGATGACAATTACTACAGTTTCGAATGTATTCCCTTCGCTCAGCCGCCGTTGGGTGCACTGCGATTCAAAGCCCCTTTGGCCGGCACACCGTGGCAAGGTGTGTTGGATTGTACACAAAAAGCCAAAAAGCCACTACAAAAGAATCCGCGCACAAATGAAATTGAAGGCGATGAGGATTGTTTATATTTAAATATCTATGCTAAAAAGGTAAGCATGATGGAAGTAAACACTAGTACGTATATACATCTACTTACCCTGCAAACCATTTTTTCACAGTATTCTGAATTTTGGAGAAATTTTAAGGTATTCGTAAAGATCTCAACCGATTTTTTGCCGAATTTTTTTTCTAAATTGAAATAATGCTGAAATGTTAAGAATTTCTTGCAGAATATTTTCAGAATTTTCTTATTTTTTCGTACAGAAATTTCTTACCGAGTTCGTGTCAACCACTTCATGAAATTTTCCTTGAAGATTCGTAATGAAATCGTTACAGAAATGAGAAACTCCTAAAGATTTCGTTAAGATTTCGGGAACTTTGGTTTGCTGGGTATATTTAAGATACTTTTGCATGTGTGATCAAAATGTGCAAATTCTTCATACTGAATTATTCAGCATGTGTATGTATGTAGAAGTATATGCAAGTCAATATAGCACTTACGACCGGTTACTCAGGGAGATTTTCACCATTTCTGGTTAACACTAATTTCCAGTTAAACATCATTACCGACGTTTTCGACACAATGTTATATGCATGGAGTCAGTAGTCAGAAGGAAGTATTTGTTTGTTAATTAAAAACTGTTGACAATTACCGCATCGCTGCTACTAGCTCTGATGCACAGATGTGCAAATGTAGAAATATATATAAAAGACCTGTCGTAATTCGTTGAAACTTTACAACTAAAAGGATTACTTCACGGTGATTCCAAAAATGAAACCGGTTTTTGTACCGGTTACCAATTTCGAAAAATCCGGGTTTTAAGTATCGGTTACCAATTTTGAGAAAAGCGGAGTCACGTCTCTTTTATTAATATTTTGCGTAAAGATTTCTCTGTATATCAGTTTTGAAAAAAAAATTGGAGAATAAGCGTAGCCCAAGATGATAAGTTCTTTGTATCTCTAAATACTTGGTAAATATATTTTTCTTTGTATTACTAAGAAAAGCCGTGACAAATTTTGAAATCGTTTAATAAACACGCACACTTTTCAGTACAGTATTTAAAAAATTTAAACTAAGCGATAATTTAATAATTTATAGAGAAATCTTTAGGCCAAATTTGTATTATTATTATATAAAAAAATTAACGAGCCCATTCTGCTATAGGTACGATAGTAAAAACTCGTATATTTCGAAATTGGTAGCCGGTACAAAAAAAAACGAATTCATTTTAGAAATTGAAATAATAGAAAAAGTTATATACAGCGTATTTTTATTACTGTTTACGTAAAAATACAAAAAAAAAATATTTTTAGATAAATGCCGGTGTTTTCATTTCTTTTGATTGTCCCTTTCTTTTATCGCACTCTATTCTAAAATAAAGACAAACGATGAGAAAGTTATGTATTATATTATAAAAATATCATACTCTTGTCTATACTAAACAACTTTTCCTAGTTTTTTTTAATCAGTTAAGCTATGCAATGAAAAAAAATACACAGCTAATTACATTTCTCTCAAGAATTGATAGATGAAATAAATAATAGCCGTCATCGATTCGCCACTTCACTGCTTACTATGTTTGAGTTCCGGTCGCTTAATGGAAAATTTTGCATGTGAAAGCAACAACAAAGTTATCTAGCACGGTTAGACGATAGCAAGTTTGGTTGTACCTCATTGAGTTCGTTCGTTTCGACACTCGCTAAATGTTGGCGAATCGATGACGGCTAATGTCACTATATCTAAATCAGGCTTTGAGAGACACTTTTCGAAGTGTGGCTTAACTCACGAAATGTTCTGATTATTTTCTTATCACAATTTTTTTTTGTATTTCAATTTTTATCGCTTATAGTTTTCCTTCCCATAAATAATATGTAAATATTTATTTATTCAACTTTAGCTTGCATCTGACAAACCTCTACCAGTTATGGTCTTCCTCTATGGCGGTGGCTTCGAAAGAGGTGATCCTACACGCGATCTACATGGTCCAGATTATTTTATGATGAAAGACGTAATATTGGTCACAATAGCGTATCGACTGGGACCATTAGGTGGGTAAATTATTATTAGACGTGCTATGTGCAGATTGACGCAAGCATACTATTTATGTGCGTAAATGCATTGTGTATGGGTGCGTTCCAAAACGTCAAAATACAAAGCATCAGTCTCTTTTATTTCTAAACCACACTAGGAGAAAAAGCCTAACTTGCGCAACTAAGTAGAAAGCTAGCATCTAACCGTGGTTGCGCACATTTGGCATTAAAATCTATTGAGGTCTAGAAATAAAAGAGACTGATGCTTTGTATTTTGACGTTTTGGAATTCACCCTATATACGTACATATGTACATACATATGTAGGCATATACTCATGTTAGTGTACATATAAACTGAAAGTAGCGTCATTACTTTATTTTGTGAGAGAGTTAAGTTTCAACGAAAACTAGCAATTATTGAATTCCATGCATAACTGTATAAAATTCAATATGTATATTTTTAGCTATACAATTTAATATTATTTGCTATTCCATGTTTTAGTTTATCTTGTGAAAATGTAGCACGTTCCAGTGGCACGTAAATTTTCCTCACTGTCAGCAATAAAATAGCGTAAATCATGTAAAACGAGTACCTATTCTATGCGCACAAACGCATATAGTTTATTTGCCTTGCTAGTCGTTTTCAAAATGAGATATGTATAACATTTTTTAAGCTATCTTGCGCTATTTCGTAAGACTCGTGACATTTTTTAATTTAAATACTTTTGTTAACATTGCTAATTAGCTTTATTAAGTTTTTCATCTAAATTAAATTATAGTTTTCAAAAATTGTTTTCTTTTTTTATTTCACATAAGAGGGTTGTTTGCAATTGACAAGCTAAAAGAAAAGTAAGTGCGCCTGCGCCACATTGGAGAAGTGAAACTTACGTTACATATCAATTTTGTCTCATAACCAATATACGTACATACTTATATATGTATGTATTTGCATACATACATCTGCTTTTGCGTAAGGTTATATTTTTTGTCTTTTTTTATCTACATCCCTAAAGCTACCCCTGTTCGTTCTGGCTACATTTATTTTATCCTGTTTTCCTTTATCCTCGTTTTTATATTTATACTCTATCGATAACAAAAACGATAGTAACATCAAACAAAATATCGATAACAAAACCGATAAAAATATCGATAACAAAATTGATAAAAATATCGATAACAAAATCACTAAATAATCCAGCACCAAATCGAATAGAAAATCGAAAAAGTATCGCTAAAAAAATCGATAAATATCGATAAGAAAATCGATAAATATCAACAACAAAGTAGATAAAAAATATCGCTAACAAAATAGCGATATCGAATATAGCTAGAATAGAAAATATCGATTACAAAATCGATAAAAATATCGTCTATTATGTCGATAAATTCCGAAAATATCGATAGCAAAATTGATAGCAATATCGATAAAAACATCGATAATGAAACTGATAAAAATATCAATTATTTTATCGGTAAGTCCCGAAAATCTCTAAAATCCCAAAACAGTTCCCAGATTGTCTCTCTCTATATCCTTTCCTCTTTTATTAACTTTATTTTAATCTTTCTTCCCCTATCTTCATCTTTACTTTTATCGGTATCCTCATGCTCCCTTTGTCTTTTCTTTTATGTTTATCATATTCTTCATCTACATACCTTTGCTCTTACATATATGCATATAAGTAAAGTGTTTAAATTTACCTTGGTTTTCATTTTTGTCTTTATCTTTACGCATCTTTGTTTTAGTTTTTATTTTTACTTTTGTCTTAATCCTTTTCTTTATCTATGTATGTAGTAGTTGCCTTGCAAATTCTTCTGTTATACAGTTTACCTCTAGGTCCCTAAAAACAGGGACCCAAGTAAGGTGAAGTCGGTTTTGCTTGGCCATCTCCTGTTGAGATAGACGGCAAACCAGCGCAATCTTTGACTAAAACGTGGAAGCGCTCAGAGCTTCGAATACAGGCTGGCTATTATTAAAAATGATCACGTCTCTTCCAATCAGTTCTGTTA